TTTTATCTACCCCAGAGGCAGCCTAGAGGGCACGTTATCACATTTTATCTACCATAGAAGCACTTTAGTGGCCACTTTATCACATTTTATCTACCCCAGAGGCACCCTAAAGGGCACTTTACCATGTTTTGTCTACCATAGAAGCACCTTAGATGTCACTTTATCACATTTTATCTACCTTAGAGATACCCTAGAGGGCACTTTATCACATTTAATCTGCCATATTGGCATCCTAGTGTGCATTTTTGTCACTGTTTATTCACCACAGAGGGCACTTTATCACATCTTATCTACCGTAGTGGCACCCTAGAGAGTACTGTCATGTTTTATCTACCATAAAGACACCCTAGAGGGCACTTTATCACATTTAATCTACCATATTGGCATCCGAGAATGCATTTTTTTCACATTTTATCTACCATAGAGTGCATTTTTGTCAGTATATTTCTGAGACAGTAATATGGACTACGGGCTGAAGCATTGTACATATTAGCAGCACAGATCACTGCAATAAAAATACTCAGAGTGTGAGTGGAAAGGAGGAAAATGTGATGGCTGAAAAAGTCAGCAGGATTTTCCAGGTGCCGCAATTTAAGAATATGTTAATCACCCAAAGTGTATTTCTGCAATGTTGATCCATTATTTATCAGCCCTTTAATGAAATCAGAGTTTCAGATTTACATATCCTAAGCCAAGAACAGAGCGTGCAGAACAGCAGACGTTTATTTCCAGGTCGACTGAAACGTTCTGCAGTGACATATTTTTCAGATTCATGAATATTTGATTGACTTTGTGTGGTGAAATAAATAGAAGCAATTAAAAGACCAGTCAAGATTTCAGTGTTTAAGATCAATTTTATGGGGAAAAAAAAAGCAAAACAAAATAAAAAGTGTTTCCTTTTTTCCTTTCTAACAAACAACTATGAATACCATGTACATTCATCCAGTGACCATTCTTCTGACTACTAAAAAAGGTCTCTCAAGAGTTCTTTGGATTGTTAATGGGTCTAGTTCTAGTTCTTAAAGGGTTCTCTTTGGAACCATTTCTGAAAGGCACCTTTTATATTTCCCTTAAAGAGCCTTCAGTTAAAACAGATTGTATCCAGTGAAACTGATTCCCACAGCATCTACACTATTACAAAACTGGTTCTCTGAGGGTTCTTTGGATGGTTAATGTTTTAGTTTTCTTAAGCAGTCCTATCTGGAACCTTTTCATGAAAGGTTCCCTCTCTGAAATAGTTCATCAAGGGTTCTTTGGGTACTAATTCGTAAGGTTTTTTAAATTTAAGGGAGACCTTTAAAGATTCCTCTAGGAAGCATTTTTTTTTTTTTTTTTAAGACATTTACAGCTTCTGGCAGACATCCTTATCCAGAGCATCTTACATTTATCTCATTTATACAACTGAGCCTTGCTCAAGAACCCAGCAGTGGCAGATTGGCAGGATTGGGACTTGAACTCACAATCATTGAATTAGTAGTCCAACATCTTAACCACTGAGCTACCATTGCCACTAGGTCCATTAACCAGTTAATAACAGGAACCAGATTACTAACACACCTGTGTTCATTCAGTTACCAGGTGGGTTCTTTAGTTTGTCCCTCTGGGGAATCATAAAGGTTTCCCTTTCAGAAGTAGTTCCTCAAAGAGTCTTTGGATGGTTAATGGTTCTAGTTTTAATTTTGTTTGGGTTTTAATTGGAACCATTTCTGAAAGGGAGACCTTTAAAGATTCCTTTAGGAACCATTTCCTCTAAAGTAAAACAGAATTCATCCAGCGAAATTGGTTCCAACAGCAATTACACTATTATATAAAAAAATGGTTCCTCGAGGGTTCTTTGGATGTTTAAAAATTCTAGGTTTCATAAGGGGTTCTATTTGGAACTATTTCTGATTCCCCAGAGAGAAGAATTCAGCCAGTGTTGAATTCCTCGAGGGTTCTTTGGTTGGTTAATGGTTCTAGTTTTCTTAGGTGGTTCTATTTGGACTCTTAAAAATTTTCCTTTCAGAAATTTTTGGTTTATGGTTCTAGTTTTCGTAAAAGATACTATTTGGAAACTTTTCTTAAAGGCAAACCTTTAGTCAAGTCGATCTTTATCTTCATCACAGCCATAGACAGTGTGCAGTACACAGAGGGACAAACTGAAGAACCCAGTTGGTAACTGACTGAACGTGGGTGTGTTATAAAACCAAGTTCCACACTGACAGACTTTTCAGGTCCAAACATTCATTCTCCTGAGGGACTCGTTAAAACACTCCGGAGCTTCGATGTGTACACAATATACTACGTGGGTCACTGAACAAAACAAACAGCTCACACTGTTGGAGTAATAATAACTCTGATACACTCTTAGAAAACACTCTGTTAACACACTGTTAACTCTATGTGTTGGCTTGACTCTGATTGGTTCCTTTCCAAACTCTAATCAGGTCATCTGCTGGTTACAATGATAATTCCATACAAATCCTACAAACACTTAACCACTCGTTTTTGAGATACCGCACTAATGAGAACTCAGATGGACTCACAGGCTGATAACCCAAACTTTATTTGGCATTTATGGAAGGAGTCTCCAGTGTCAGGGCTGTGTAACGGTCAGAGGTAAAGCTGTAACTTTAAGTTTTCCGACATCTTCAGGACAGAGGAGTTTATTCTTTTTTGCAGTTTCTCAGTAACATGACAAGCTGCGTTTTTTGTCTTATTAACATCAAGAGAGAGAGAAAGAGAGGCTGGTGAGGGAACGACTGTTTATAGCTGCTATATCGTAAGTGACAACAGGAACTAACTTGTTTTAAAGACATTTTAAAGACATAAACTATAAACAGATAAAAAGTAAAAGAGTGACACGGTGTGTTTTATTCCTTATCCAGTCGCAGCAATGTTTCAGTAACTCTCCAGTAAGCTCCTTTAATACAGTACTCCTATCACACAGGCTAGTGTATTGTGTTATATTATTTCTCTTTTTTTGTAGAAATTAGAGAAACTCTTTACAGTGTAATGTGTGTGTGTGTGTGTGTGTGTGTGTGTGTGTGGTGAATTAACTGCCATGATGTAGTGGATATACACAGCTTTCAATATGGTGCAAAGAGAAAAACCTGATAAAAGAGTTTTTGCTTAATTTAAACAGTTTTGTTTGGGGCTTCTTAACATATGTGTCTGAGCAACTGTGCACACACACACACACACAAACACACACACACATAGGATGCTAAATACCAGCAGAGAGAACACCAGTATGGCACCATCTGTGTCTTCATTGCTTCACTGGTGATCAAAACGACAACAGTGAGTGCTGTTTCAGCCACACACACACACACACACACACACACACACACACACACACAATTCTCATACACAACCAGAACCAAAAAGAAGAGTAACATGCAGCACACACACCTAGGCCCGCAAGGACAACATTAGTCTCAGTAAGAAGAGTTACAGCCCTAAAATAGAGTTACACTACTATTTTATAAGATCACTATTTGGCAGGAGGACATGCTTTTTATCTTCTCAAATTGTGAAAAACGTCTACTATGCATGAATATTATTCCACAATCCAGCATCCTGACATCTGAGGTTTGTCTCAAATAAAAGCTAATCAGAATCTGAAAAAAAAAAAAAAAACAGAAGCGAGGCTGGAAATTCACTGAAGTTCACTTGATCAAGCCACTTACTTTCCCTCCTGTGGAGCATCTCCTGTACGCATTCGTTACTCCTACGGTTTGGTTCATATTCACACCTGTTTCAGTGCTGCAACACACACACACCCACACACACACACACACACACACACTGTAATGTAATAATCACATAAACTGACATTTCCTTCATTAATACAGTGTGAAGTTAATGATAAGAAATAGAGAGAAACCCAACCTGCTCGTTAATCCTTTAATCCACTCTTCGTTCTCCAACTTCTCTCGTGTGTTTCGATTTTTCTGGTTTTAGAATAAACCTGGAAAAAGAAAATCCAGAAAACAAAATTTTCCCTCTCCTCTGTGGTCCAGAGTTTATCGCATCCCAAACAAATCCACAGGAGATGCAGCAGGAAACTTTAGAGCTGTGACCACAGGTTCTTCCCCGATACCTCCATTCTTATACACACACATACACACACATACACACACACACACGTGGTGAGACAGTGAAGGAAGCAGTGCATGTGAGGGAGTGTGTGGATGATGCTGATGTGTGTGTGTGTGTATGTGTGTTTGTGTGTGGATGCTGATGCAGATGCGGCTGAGGAGCACAGTGAAGACTAAACACTGCAGAAGAATCTCCCTGCACTACGGAAAGCCAAAGAGTTCAAAAAGTGTTCAGAAACACACTGTGTGTATCGTGTACACACCCACATACACACACACACACACACACACACATCAGCAGTTTCTTTTTAATGATGTTTCTGAGCTGATGTGAGTCATCTGGAAATTCTCCAACAACAATAACAACAACAACAATAACAATAATAATAATAATAATAATAATAATAATAATAATAATAATAATGAATCCTATATTTAACAAACTTTACAACACATGCTTATAACACACATGCAAATAAAAACTTATTGTGTGATTAATGTACAGCTAATAAACACCGTAATTACATGTATTTACAGTGCATGTCTCTTTCTCTCTGTCTCTCTTTCTGTCTGTCTGTCTGTCTCTGTGTCTGTCCATCTGTCCGTCTGTACTGGATTTTAAGATGCAAACTTACATTCAGTGTAGATTGAAACACTGGTGAACTACACACTATACTACTACAGACTACAGGCTATACACTACAAACTATACACTATACCTTATACACTATACGCAATATACTACATGCTATACACTACATACTATACACTACACATTATACACTACACACTATACATTATACACTATACCTTATACACTATATGCTATATACTACATGCTATACACTACATACTATACATTATACACTACACACTATACATTATACACTATACCTTATACACTATATGCTATATACTACATGCTATACACTACATACTATACATTATACACTATTTACTACACACTACACATAAACTGTACACTCTGTACACTTCACATTATACACTGCACTCAGTACAGCTGGTGTGTTTTCCATTGAGGTGCACACAGAAGAGCTAATACCATTTACCAGGATTGACAGGTTTCAGCAATATTTGCAGTCCAGCTACATCTCACAATCCACACAAAAGACCTGAAACTAGACCAAAACATTTGGGCATCAAAAAAGAGAAACCTTTTCTCAGCACACACATTTACGTTGTACAGACATTATCCCCTCCATAATCCCACTTTCCCTCTCCCGATATTTTCAGTATATCTTAAACAGTTCTGTACATCATACACACTGTCTGCACTTGCACTTTGCTTTTGTTTGGAAAAATGTATTAGATTTAATTCAGATTATTTGCTATAAAACATGATCTTGGCAGCTGTGGAGTATTTTTAAACTAGCCCAATCTGGCAACCCAGTCATTATCTGTCCTGTCTGCAACTCCTCTCCTGAGAAAGGGGTAGCGTGATTCCTGCCCCAGTGGGCCTCTATTTATTAACACTTGTTGCAGTTTCCATTTTTGACCGCTAGGCAATAATAACTCCGTGGAGCTAAATGGGGCAGTCAGTCAGCATGCTGAAAGATGATTATACAACATCTAGAAAGGCGAGAACATCAACAGAACATTGGATTATATCTGTCAAAGAGCAAATCATTCAAATCGTTTGGTCACTCAAAAGAGGTAATTAGTATTTGAACAGAGCTTAAAATGTGTAGAGCTGTGAATGAGGACTTTTTGAAGATTAATATTTGTTGAATAACTGATATAAATGGTGTTGTAGTGTTGTTCTCACTTGGTGCTTCAGCCTTTCAGCAAATTTTAAAGTGCTTCTCGCACTCCTGGCCACGCCCCTTCAACTACCTTTAGCCCAGAAGTGAGCAGTCCACTGCACTGGAACTGTGAAGTGTGACATTTCAGGCCAAGCCTGTATCTATTCAGTGAAACATCTGAATAAAACACGCTTCAGCAAAGCTTTCATTGTGAATTGGCCTTTACACACTTTAAATTACACTCCATCTGAAGTTCAGCCATGCTTCTGGGCACCTCATAACCTGTCTCTCTCTCTCTCTCTCTCTCTCTCTCTCACTCTCTCGACCCCTGGAGTCTTCGCAGTAATTGCTACACACAAACCAGCCGTGAAATCAAGACTAAATTAATTATGTGAACTGAAGCTCTTCTCATCTTAATTCATGAAGAACCCAGACAGATCAAAATGTATATTCTGATAAGGATGTCCTTACATCAACCTAATGGCAAAAAAGGAACATCCAGAAGTTCATAAATCATTATCACAACATTAAATGTAACTATAAACAGATAAAAAGTATATTGGATCTTGCTTTTTGAGCTCTGCTTCTTTACCCCACTCTGGTGTTGATTATTTTACTATTACAGCCTGTCCAAAAGGGTTTCATTCCTTACTTTCAGTAGGTG